ACAAGAAATCTTCAGCTCTGTATGGCCTTGTAAAGCACCACAGTCACATACTTCGACAAGAACCGATTAGTCGAGCCGAGGGCCACAACCGAAGGGTGGGCCCGATCCTTGTGCATGTAGAGATGGTTTAAAACCACATGCTGAGGCCTCGAGTGTGGGGCCGGGATTTCCATGTGGGATGAGGGGGCGTTAAGCAATGTCAGATTCAGATGTGGAGGTGCCATTGGAGGCTCTTTTGCAAAGTCCTCTTGACTGAGTTGCGAGTTGTTGTAAGTCGAGTCCGGTGATTGAGGCGGCTCGAATCCCGATATGCTGTCAAGGTCTTCCGGCACATAGTCCTGGAAATTTGTAATAAAAATGAAGAGAATGGAAAACGAGAGACGTATAGATTTGTACTCTATTTCGCAAAAGAATCCATTTTCCTTTTACAATTTGGCCTCGTTTACTTAAAATGATGGGATTGGATAGTTTAATCCTATCAACTTTATACGTCAGTTTGTGTCTAATGTTTACAAAACATGATGCATTTTAAGGCAAAAACAATCAAGCATTTACTAACGTGGATAAGATGACAGGATAAAATACAAAATATGAGGTGGCAGCAAAATATATTTAGATGACCTAAAACTGTAATTTGGTGGAATTCCAAGGGTTTCACATGCCAAATTTTGGACAAAATGGTCATTTCAAAGGTGGGATTAAAATGTCCCACCTTCAAGACCGGACAAAATAACCCTGCCAATCGTGCACAAAAATGTGGGACCCACGGGACACATCAGCTTATTATCCAATCTCATAAACGTTGGATAACAAGAGTTATCCAACCATACTATCCTATCAGCTTAAAAGGAAGCCAAAGTTGATGAACAAAAATACAAAGGGTACGGGGGATTGAATTTCTCTAAAAAGATCAACGGCCCATAATGAAANCACAGATAACACAATAATTTAGATACAAAAAAACTACTATTCTTGAAATTATCATCGTGTTGGCATTGCAACAACTCAAAGCATTATAAATCAATACTATCAACTGTGTATGGTGTGTATGGTGTTGACACTTTGTGCTTATGTTGTGCCTTAAAAGTTGGATGAAGATAACCCCACCTTGTGCATTTGAATCGTGCAATTCGAACACTAATGAAAATTGTGCATTTTGTAACACACATAAGTTCAATTCACGATAGTAAAATCCTTCTTTAAAGACCCACTAATGAAAAATGTGCATTTTGTAACACACGTTAGTTCAATTCACGATAATAAAATCTTAGCTGAGATTGGCCACAATATACTGGACTTATTTCTTATCACGGTATACAGCTGAGAACAGATAATCCAAAATGAGTTATGGTGCAAACTGAGGTACAACAAAATTATTACAAAACATTCATAATCTAGATACCGAGCATTATGAAACAAATTGGAAAATAACTCGAATTTAGATGTGTATTGACCATCTTAAACCATTTCCTTTTTTATAACATATTGTACTACCACCACAGCTAACAATTAAGGGAATTCAATATAGAAAATTGTGGAAAGCACGTAAAACCATTGATCACTTAATGATTTCATTTTCACACCTAAAATCAGCAATCAATAGCAAGTTTCTTATATCTAAGAAAGTGCTAAAGCTAGAGATAGCCACAATTAAATCAAAGGGAAGAATCTAACACCAAATAAACCATTATAACCATATCCATTTTCCAGAGTAGACTTAACTCCTTTTCTAGAATTTTAATTATTGAGCTTATACATCTTATAATGTAATATATATCCGAACGTGAAAGATCCCACATGCCTGTTATAGTTCTAAAGGAAACAGAAACATGAAAACTTTCCTGTTCTTTCTTTTCTTGCAATGGAGTAATGGGATAAATTAACAGAAAACTATGAAAAAAGAAAAAAATATGAAGAGCCAACAAATATACAAAAAGGAAAGAAAGAAAGAAAGTACCTGCAAGTCTAAAATGTTATAAGCATTTCCAGATTCATCTTTCTCCCAAGGCTGATCTGTGGTGTACTTCAACTGTCCATCGACAATAAACCTGTACTGATAAACCCCTGAAGGAAGTACCATCATGATAGTGAAATCCTTTCCAGACTTTTGCAAGGGCTTCCTGTATAATGCAAACCGCAGCTTTAAAGATAGTTTCTAGATATTCTTGGAAGCTTATGGTGTGTTTGTTCATAAATTATCTCAATTCATACTCATTTCATACTCAAAATCTAACTCAACTTTAACTCAATTTCACTGTCCTCTGTCCTTGATATTATCGATATAATTAAATAATACAAATCATTCATTATTACACATCACATCAACTTTAATTCACTATAACCATCACTTCACACCATCTATCTCCTATTTTACATCAAATCAACTTTAATTATTTTATTTTTAAATATTATTTTAATAAACTCAGAATCCCACTAACAACTAACCATACCACTTTTTTTACAAAATTAATTTTGATGAACCAAAAAAACTCTTTTTGAGCGAATATATTTGTATTCAATCCAAGCAGACCCTTAATAACATCCTTTTGGATATTTGAAAAGGAACTAACCTAGTTTTCCAGTCATCCCATGATCCTTCGACAGCAACATCTTTTCCACCATAGCTCCACGTGATCATAGTTGGAATTCCTTGCTCGTTATACGTGTCTTCATAAGTCGAGCCTGTTTGCATCCATGAAGGGTTTGGGATTTGCAGCTCGTCAGGTCTTTGTAAAGGGACCACGGGCATCTGGACAGAAAACAATGAACTGAATTTTGGTTAGTGAACTGCAAGCTATTCAAAATCTACTACACACAACTACAATCATATAGATTCTGGTATAATGTCCTTTGGGAACAAAAGTGAATGCTAGAATATGGACATTATTAGATTTCAAGTTAACAAAGCCTTTACCAATTTATGCAACCACTAGCTAACAAATGTTCAAATTTGTGATATTATATCTCCAAATGCAAAATTTGATACTCAAAACGAACAACCCTTCTCATTATTTTAAATATCAACCACAAATTTGAGATCTTTACTGCAAAATATCTACAAAGAGTGCCAGAGTAAACCAGAATTTAAGGAACAGGGTTCAGTTCACTATAATTACAGCAATATATCCAGACAACTATATCCTCAGATCTAACTTGATTACTATATATTACAAATTTACAATTCATTAATGCATGTTCAAGATAACAACCCAACTAAAAGAACAGTATAACAGTGATACTTATCGGCAACCAAATTTTCAATCAATTGCCACAAAAGATCCCATCTTTTACACTCAAAAACTTAAAACAATCCAAAATAAACCACAAAAATAAAAGCCAAGTTGCCATTTAAAGAATCAATTAAAATGGGGGCAAAAAATGACCTGGGGTCTGAACATCAAAGGAGATTGAGAAGCCCTAGGGCTTGCGGGAGGCGATTGTCCCATATATTCGCCGACGAGCGCACCATCGCCGTCGGCCATGATAACCTGCGCACTCCCGCCGTCCTCCGCCTCAGATGGGCTCTCGCCGCCGGCCTCCTCCCTTCCATTCGCATTCCCCATATGCAAACTCTTCTACCAAAACCCTTACAAACACCCAAAAAGAGGAAGGAAAAACCTCCGAGACAAGAAATACCCTACTCGGAGCTTTTCATCCCCAACAAGCTCAAGAAAAAATGGACAGGAGGAGACGAAAACTGAGAGAGGTGAAAGAGAGAGATAAAAAGGGCAATTCAGATGGGTTTAATTAAAGGGGGTGTTTGATGGATCATAATCATTGGATTAATTAAGAAAACCTAAAAACTAAAAAGCCCCTTTTGCGTGGAGACGAAATGAAAATCGATGGCACGAACATTGATTCCTTTTTTCTTGATTGTTGATTACTATAAAAAAGTGGAGAGATGGGTTTGTGTGTGTGGTAATATGTAAAATCCCGTGAAGCTGGAATTATTTCATGATGTTACTTCTTTGTGTTTTCCCTTTTTTTTTTTACTTTTTCTTTTTTCCTTAATATTTGATGTGATGAATAATAGGGCAACAAATTGTGGTATGTTGTCACAATAATAAATACAATATTAAGCTCAATTTTAATTAATTTTTTAATTTTGTATTTTTTGTTTGGTGTTCCATTTCATTTCTTATGGTGGATGGCATAATAAGTGTTTTAAATACCGTACCGGTGGTCATACAGGTCAAGCCATTTGTACACGATATTACCGGTAGGACCGGTAATACCACCGGTATTACCGGATTAACAAATATAATGATATATATAAATATACATAAAAATATATAATATCAAATGCAAAAAAGTAAAAAATAAATGACCATAATCATTAATTACAACTTCTCAATGAGATAAAAATTAAACTTTCTAACTACCAATTTAAATTTTATTTTTTTTAATTATTTTTTTTTAATTTTTTTTTATTGGCCGGTATTTTGCGATTTTTGCGGTATGATCCCGGTACGAACCGGTATAACCGTAAATCCGATATTTTCAGTGTAATTGTACCGTACCAATGGCCGGTATACGGTATTACCGGCCGGTACAGTACGGTATTTAAAACATGGGGCATAATGTTAGACATAATACACAGATTTTAAGGATTTTACAATTTTACCCATAGCATCAATTTTAATCTATTTAATTGTTGGCAAACATTTAATAAAATTATTTGGTTTCCCTTCATTTTCGGTTACAAAAATTTTATCATTAATATCTTCTACCTTTCACATTATTACACCCTATTAAGTGTAATCACATATTTTTGCTATTATATCATATAATAGTTAATGCTAATATCAACTAATAATGATTCACCTTAAATACAAATTACATAAGTATAAACAACTCTCTTGCAATTTTTTTCTTCCAGCTATTTATTCTAAAATCAATATTATTATTATTATTATTATTATTATTATTATTATTATTATTATTATTATTATTATTATTATTATTATTTTGTATCTCATGAAATAATTTAAAAAAAAGAACAATAGCCAAACAATATTAATAGCATAGTCAAACCATTTTAAAATCTTTAAAAAAATTATTGTTATAATTGTAATAGTATATTTTCACCAAAATTAATTGACCATGATCCCTCCAAATTATAAAAATTATATTATCCACAAATTTTTAGTGATTCATATACACTTAAATAATTTATATTTGTATTATTTTATTTTTACTAATGATCAAATCTTGAAAATGTTATATGTTCATTATCTAGAATTTTAATATTATTTGCACATATTATTTTTGTACATTTGTGCATGTGCACAGAATGATAACTAGTTTAAATAATGTTTACACTTACACCTTATTTATTTAGGTTAACCATTATGTCAAATTAGTATTATTTTATATTCAGTAGGTCTTAGGTTAGGCCGATATACTATTTTTATAAACATATATGTGTCCTTCATTATGAAATGGCATACTTTATAAAACAATACAAATAAAAGTATGATATTCATTGTAAGTATTATATTTATTTAAAAATATGACGGATTAAGCACTTAAAACTGTCGCACAGAAAAAAAAAAAAAAATATTTTATTATAATTTTTAATAGTATTGCATTGTGTTTGTATTTCTTCAACCATTATAATATCTTGGTTAATGAACAATATATTGATGTGTTGGTGGTGGGGAAGGAAGGGCCCAAATTCAAGGGCTGTGTGGGTTTAGTGGGGGATGAAGGTCACATCATACTTTTTTTGACAGACCAATTTTATTTTTTTTTTCAATAAATAATTTAATTCACATAGGCTGGTTTTATGCTTTATGGGTGTTTTGCAGGAAAGGGGAAATTAATAACGGGAGATTTATATATAT